CAACTAATTAGGGATAACGGTGCACAATCAGCCCTAATCCTCACACGTGACTCGCGGGAGCACTCGCGCCCGATCCTTGCAGTGTGCAAATAAGCCGACAGGCGCCAGCGGATTGCGCTTGGTGGTTTGGGAGCAGCCTCAAACATCCCATGCAGCGGAGAGTTCAACGCTTGGGACTCGGGACGCAAATGCCGCCGCCTCGTTTGTGCGAGTGCCTGGGATTTTCTGGGAGAGGAGATGTGCCGGAGCACTCGCTGTTGGGATTCTATTTTTTTTACGTCACCACATGAAATAAAAACGTGGAAAAGGCGCAAAAGTGGCGGTGCTCAGGAGGAAACTATGCGCACGTTAGAGGCTCGGGACAATTTGCACGTGAATGGGTCCGGATTTAAAAATCCAATTCGCAAATTTCATTACAACGAAATTAGTTCCATGCGCAAGTCATGGCACAACCTTTACCAGCGCACCATAACGCAGCAAAACCAAACACCCCGTATATTTACTTTTTCATTGTTTCAGCCTTGCAGGACTGTACATTAATTTTGTATGTTCGAACAATTAGCAGACTAGCAATCACGTGACGATTGAATGTTGCACCACAGGGTTTCTCCTGGAAGTTAAAACAAGTTTGAGCCCGGTCTGTTCTTGGATAGCAGATCATTTAAAAGATGATAAAGCATAAAGGAGATTCTTAAATCCACGTCTGCAGCTTTGAGCATTATCCCCTAATATGAATTGCGAGTGCTCCAACTGCTCATGAGTCTTCCTACATTAAAGGAACTGACCAAAACATTCCAACGCATGATCCCACCCAGACACAGCCATCTTATGTCTCACTGGAGACTTTCCGCGTTAGAGGGCATCACCATTAATGCAATGGATAGCCTGGTGGCAAAGGTGCGCTTGCCTTTTGGTCCTGGGTTCACCGGCTCAAATTCGACATCGGTTCGCCGAAGATTTGCTGTGAAAAAACAATCACCACCACGTAAATTAGCGAGGACGTAACACGGCACCACGACTGTTCCCAAAAACCACAAGGTGTGGGGGCGGGGGGGTTCACACCGGGTGCCACCAACGAACAAACGTGGGAAACGACCACAAACCCACAAAACCCCACTTTGTGCTCAAACTGTCGCCTCCGGAATGCTGGCCAAGGTCAAATAGCTCCGACTGCTCCTGTTTGGAGCCAGCATGGGATTCCAACAAGCCAAACTACCAAGCAGGCAACAGCTGACAAGAGGCGACAAACAAACCAAAAGGAGGTGGTGCTTGTGACAACGCAGTGCCTACAAAAACAGAGGACTCCCCCCGGGTGCATTTAAATACGGTCGCCGGTGTGCCACCACCAGGACGCACACAGAAGCCCCTTTTTCCACTGGCATATCCGAGCCACGTCAGAAGGTGCCCTCATGGCTCAGGTAATTTTTACCCACATCGCTTTTTACCATTCCAGAACAAAAACATTAAAACGCTTGCCTTAAAGATATCCGGAGCAGCTCATAACCAAGCAAGGATAATCATATCCATCACGAAAATGATTAAAACGCATGGTTGTCAGCGGCACAGTTCTACTTCTGCAGTTGTAAACAAACACTCCGCACCTTGAGGAGAGCTGGCTCGACATGGCTCCCGGCACAACTCGGTTGCACAGTGGAAAAAAGACATGGGCCAGAGATAGTCAGTGGCCACCGAGGGGGCCCGACGTGACCAATCCACCCACCTGGCCGCTCGTGGTGGAACCAGGTGCCCACGCGCCCCGCTGCACCAACCACCACGCGGCACATCGCCAAGCACCACGTGCTCACGGCCGCCCCACCCCGGTGCAACACTCCTGGAGCTGGGACGAATGAGTGGCGTCACGGGCAAAGCCACGATGTGGCTTGTGAAGGGGAGGGGGGTGGTGGAGCCTACGCCCCTCCTCCCCTACACACGTGGGCCATACCTGGCCCGCACCCACCTCGAGTTCAATCTAAAACGGGCCCCCAAATGTTGTTCACCCATCACTGCAGGCACCCCCATCCTCACTACCACTGGTGCTAGGGGGAAATATTTGACCTGAAAAAACTACATTTCACATGCGCAGTAAATCGCAGTCAAAGGAACGGCCTATTGCAGCCAAGTCCCAAGTCCTACTTTCACCCTCGGGGAGGATGGCTCCCATCAGCCACCCACTAAACTACTTCAGGACATTACCTTTTCAAGTACTATTTGCTGGCAGTAGTTGTCACACCATTGTATATTGTACGAAGAGTTTGCAAAATTTGAATAAATCCAATTGCCGCTTCCCAGTTGAACATTTGGACGAATGCTAAAATCAGGTCAGGTCAAATTGTGTGTTCTGTCGATCAATCATTGGGTCACACTTTTCAAATGTATTTTCATTGGCTTGACAAAACCTCACATCATCATCAAGTACTGCGCTGCGTGGTGTTTTTACACCGGATTGGAGAACCCAGGTTTCAACTGGCATGCAGGCTTAGAGAGTTGGTGAAGCAAACCGCTCTTAAGAACACCACGGCGCTCCCCTCACAAACCTCACATGTCTTCACTTTGCATTTATAATGCAAAGGGAGCGTAAAATTACAACAGCACGAGCCGTTTGCACAGCAAACGAGCAGTGTTTAGACAAAAAGAACTGTTGCATAAACAATGTTTGCAGCGCCGGCACTTGCATAAGTATAATTGCAGTTTTCAACTCTCGAAACGTCCCACTGCACGACTTCATCACAACACCCCCCCAACACCACGACCCCAGGCCCCCCACTTTCACCTCCTGGACAAGCGACATTCCTGCAAGCCACCACTCAGCCACCGCGCCGACCGCTATGGGAATGTCAAAATCGCAATGCAACATTTATTCGCCCATTGTAGTGATCGGCCGGGTCACGAGGAGCGTAGCACCATGACTGCAAGAACGCGCGCGAGTCGCCGACGGAGCGTCAGGGAGCAGAGCTGCACACACTGGTTAGTTTGCGAGAAACGAGACAACGAAAACGAGCAGCAGGTGGGAATTATAGCACCTGTAAACAGATTAATCAGCAGACTACGGTTCTAAAGGTCGGTTTGCACACATGCACAAGCATGTTACGTTTAAAAAAAAATGGCCTTCAGGTCTGCAGTTTTTATTTTTATTTAGTTTCTTGGTCGTTTTCCTCCTCCGTGTATTCCAAGCACAATGTGCATCGTCACTATGGGAACCTCATTTGCCAGTAAAAATATGATAATTGGTTCTTTACCCTTCTATCTGGCAACAAAACTGACACCTTTTTACAAGGAGTCATGTTTGCATAGACCGCAATACCTGCAGTCATAATACAAACAAAAGACATAACTCTGATAATGTGCACTGTCCCTGAAGTTGATTGGTCCACACCCGAGACAGCTTTCCTTCGAGCCTAGTCTCATATGGGTTGGACCAGATGACGCCAAAAGGCGCACAACTCAAGGACAATGCACCATCAGAGTATGAGAGCTCGGGGCAAGCATCTACACCACTAGTGTAATTGCTTGCCCCGAGCTCTCATACTCTGATGGTGCATTGTCCTTGAGTTGTGCGCCTTTTGGCGTCATCTGGTCCAACCCATATGAGACTAGGCTCAAAGGAAAGCTGTCTCGGGTGTGGACCAATCAACTTCAAGGACAGTGCACATTATCAGAGTTATGTTCTTTTGTTTGTATTATGACTGCAGGTATTGCGGTCTATGCAAACATGACTCCTTGTAAAAAGGTGTCAGTTTTGTTGCCAGATAGAAGGGTAAAGAACCAATTATCAATGTGCATCGTGTTGCACAATAAGAAAGCCATTCGGAAATCACAGCAGGGTCCCGTATCAGAACGGCAAGGAAGAGTGAAACTTGCACAAGGCAAGTTTCACTCTTCGGTTGTTAGATTTAAAAAAAGGCACACATTCAAGGAGTTAGCATTCGGGCAAAACTAAATTTAATGCAATGGGTTTTTTTAACACCAGTCGGCCATCGGTGACTGGGGTACGACCAATTCACTAGAATTGAGAAAGCAGATGAGAACCACACCAGGCATCCATCTGGAGTTGAACCCAGGACACCAGCAGGTGCCCGCTCCTCTCCGTCCAGCCACCTCCACTGCTGGTTCTTTGCAATTCAACAATCCACACTAACATCACGTGGGAGGGCGTGCCGTCAGCTGGCAGGCAATGAACAGATTGTGTGCACAAGTAAATGAGAATTGGCAGCTATCTGCATGGAAGTGCAAACAACTATTTGTCCATAACGTGTAACATTCGCCATCAGTCGATACATTGAGATTGGAATCTCTCAACTTCCCTGGTGAACACGCCTGTACCTCTGCAGTTGCGTGAATAATAATTCATCGAATTAAAATGTTGGGCATCAAGGAGGTTCGTTCAGGGCGACTGGACGAGTCTGAAGAGCAGACAAGTCAAAAAAAGCGAGTTGGGCAGAACGAGCATGGGCGAATTCTACTGGCACCTGCTCTGACCAAGGTAACAACGACCAATTGACGCAAAGAACCGATGGGGAAACAATAAGTAGACGAAGAGCAAGTGGGAATGTGCAATTTTACCAGGAATGGCCTGAGATGTATAGCTCTTTTTGAGAATAGACCTGGGCCACAAATTAAGTGGCTTATCATATGGAAATGTATAGCAGTCAACAAAAACTCTGAAAACACATGTAGATTCTACATGTGTTTTCAGAGGGAAAAAAAAATCTGGTGGCCCAGAGAAAAATCAGATGGGCACGCTGCTGCTATAGTTCGGCTCAATGGGAGGCATTTCGGGGAGAAGTTTAATTTTGCTTAACCAGTTGAGAACAAGAAGAGTCTCATTGCAAGAACGATCAAGGGCCAGAAAACAGGGCCGGACCAACCGTCAACCACAATGTGGCCGCACGACGCGTGCGTACGTGCGTTTTGAGCTCCTGCGAGGTGCTCCTGCAAAGGGAATGTGCAAGCCCGGAGGCCGCAAGGGGACACGTGGGGGCAGAACACCACCGGGGCCCCACCAGTGTTTGCTGGAACGTCGCCCTGCTGCAAAGTGGAGTTGTCTTCCAGAATGCCCTGGGGCTGGACTGGAGGTGCAGTTCGCCGCTCATTATCCTACACACACACACGTACACAAAGAAGTCAATAATGCAACAAAACTAAAATGTACAATCTCGGCACAGGCATGCTCAATATATTGCGGTGGAAACCGGGTCGAGGTAACCAACACTGGATAACGTTATCGCCCTTACACGCCCCTGGCACCTCACAATAGCCACCACTACCTTTCAAACTTATGCCATCATTTATTAAAAATCATGGAAGAGTTCAAGCCAATTGGTGAAATATGTCAACAGACGCTGCATGTACAAGTCTTTAGGGACAACTTTTTTATAATCATGAACATGCGTTGCTGAAACTGCACAACTCCCTACCCATAAAGTCTTAACTACCTCACATCAGGGGGACATTCTCCCCTGACCTACGGGAACACACCATCCTTAGTCTTAAATGATGAAACTATGCTAAAGTTTTCTAATTCGGCCTAAGCATTTCCTTCAGATAAAAAGGTAGTTTTGTTCCCTTCTATTTTCAAGAAACAGTTTAGTATTAAATCGATAGGTTGACCATGTTTGTACACCTTAATTTCCACTGCCACAATTGTGCGACTCTTACTTTCAGAGCATCTTAAGGATTTCGAAGATGGAAACTAGAAATCCATGGTCTGAGCCTCATTAACCATTACCCATCCACTTGGAGGAAGCCTCCAAATTGTAATCCTTTGCTGCAGTGAACATCAAATACCTTCATTGTGGAAAAAGGCTCTTGTGGAAAGCAAAATAGAATAATTATGCTCAGGCTTCGTAGGAAAAGGAAAAAAAAGGCAGTTTCTGAAAACTAACACAGTCCAAAGCAGCTCACAATACCAAGGGCCCAGAACATTTGAAAAAAGCCATTTTAGAAACACAACAAAATTAAATCGCCTATTCGGGAACATCTTCTTTGCACTCCCCCACTCCCATGTCGAATGCATTCCAATAATTCTGAGAAAACAAATCCCCAAGGTCCCTCCCACCCCATCTTGAAAAGGGGCAGCGCACTCACAAAAACCACAAGCAGTGAAGCCATCGGCTGGCGTTCACACGCTGCCACGCCGGCACTCCCAACGAGCCATCATCGTCATCGATTCCTCCACCACAGTGCCCATTGCAGACTTCACAGAGGAGGTTTTTCCCATCCGCGCCCGATAAAATGACACCCCCCCCCCCACCCCCCTGTTATGCAAGCGAGTCGTGTGCGTTTTTTACGTGGTATTGATTAAGTCTTGGTTACTGCAGAGTTTGCATTTCCCTCAACTTCCATCACCAGAAGTTGCACCTAGCCAACCTTGGTTTAGAACCCAGGCGATAACCCGAGGAGACGCAGGAGAGCCTTTCAAGGACGACGTGGGTCAAACCAATCATTTACTCTGGGAGGAAAATGAAAACAGACTAAATAGATAGGAATTTAGGCTGTACCTCCCCCCCCCCCCACCTCTGTCCAGCTGTGCGAGAGCGTAAATCTCGACGAATGAGAATACAAACATTCGCGAGAGAGCAGGGGGGGGGGCTTGCCATGCCGAGAAGACCACAGCTGCAGCAGCAGCAATGTACGCCAAGCAGAGGCGCAGTCCTGCAAGCATCGGCTCACCCCCCAGCAGGTGAAAGGGCCCTCATGGGGACTTGAAGGCGCTCCTCTAGAGCCGTTTGGCCTACTCTTCCACAGACCACGTAAGTTAGAAAGCAATAACGCAATAGCAGCGGAGGGCGTGGCAGACTTGACCAGTCGCATTTTACCACAAAAATCGGTGGAACGTTGGACAGCCCAGCCTCATGCATCGGCATCAGACGCAGTCATAGTCCTGCAACAGCCACGTAAAAAAAATTTGGCAACTAAAGGAACTCTAAGGCAGACTCGTCATTCTAATTAGAATCGCATGACAAATCTCCATGCATCGACCAAGGAGGTGGTCAATAGAAATCCTGACATTGACAATGCATAGTAGCCAGGGGCAAGTACATCGTGAACATTCAAGGCAAGACTCGCACCATCATGCGGCATTACCAGCTTGCATATAGATCTTCCAACAATTATGGAAGTTACTTGTGACAAATTGCTTCCCCCCCCGCCGCAACTTTTTCAACTATAATTACTCTAATGATCGATCGTCAATGCCTAGGCACAGCTTGATAAATATCCAATAGTCTTTGTCCAAATACAAAAATCGCCAAACGCCATCACTGTCAGTCAACTATTGGCCAGCTCCCTCTAGCAAAGGAGTCCTGCCCAAGTCCACCGGTCTTAACCAGGGACTACACGACGATTCAAATTAGTTGCGTCGTATAAAATGAACAAATTGCCAGAATCAATATTAGGTGGTGACAAGTCATAGGGTGTTGATGTACGCAATGCCCAAAAAAACAATACGGGTGGGAAAGTCCAGAATGCAACGCTTAGGTGGCCATATGGGACAATGGGTGCACTCCATAAACATAAGTTAGCAGGGCAAGAGACTTGGCACAGCAGCTTCAGCCCGCGCTCCCTCCGCTTGCCAAAGCCGCACGGGAAACTTGGACGGCAAGTTCGCATTTGATAAACGCGCGCAGTAAAGCGGGTGGACTTGGGATCGCGTCAAAATTAAAAAAAAAATCGTTGCGCGCGAGACGGCCGTTGATGAAGATGCGTGGACGCACCTTGCACAACGGCACTCTACGAAATTGCTACCACAAAAACCCGAATGTTGACTCAAGTTAGTTAGGAGGGGAGGATGGCCGAAAGGGCTCCGTTATCCACCTCGTGAAAACAAGACGTCAAAAACTTTGCCAGACGTTCACCTCGCACCCCTAAAAAACCCCCAGGACTCCCTCGGCTTTTTATCCTCATAACCCTCAGACTACCCCCAGACCCCTCCATGCTCGGATACCAATCCATCCCCACCCCCCCAAATTCTCTCCCCTCTACTTCACGCCCCCCCCCCCCCCCGTAACCCCAGCAACCTCCCTCACTTTCGAGGAATTTGAGAGCAGGTCAGCGCTGCCCACAGGGCAAGGCAAGACTGCGCACACACATAATAATGGGCACACGTTCCAGAGCAACTGGTTTGGGGTTATTCACGGAGAGAGAGAAACGCCCTCGGGCTGCAGCGCGATATTGGTTTTCGTTTTTGGTCAAAATTGTATGGTTTAGTACAGCCAAGTGAGACGAGTGAGGTGGTGGGGGGGGAGAGACTGCTCCCGTTTAAAAATCTTTTTTAAAAACCTCCCCAGTGCAAACAATTATGGGGATTTAATTGAGGGCAGTTTTGGAGGTGGGAAGAGCGGTGGTGTTGGTAGAGGGGTAGGGCTGTGCAGGGTTTTTTTCCTTCCCCCTCAAAGTAGTTGTGGAAAAATTGGGACAGTTTTAAAAAGGGTGCGGAGATAAAAGTTAAATCGCTCTAATCTCATAGCTGGTAACTACCATGAAGCGTCTCCTCCTCCTCCTCTCGCAAGGCCAACGCAGCATCAAGCTGTCCAAACCGGTGCACTGGGAGAGAAGGGGGTGAATAGCGGAGCCTACACACGCAAGGACGTCCAAACGCCATCCATGCCTCACGCCTAGAGGCCCTGGGTTGCTCGCAGCCAACGTGAATGCGGCATTGTGCGCGCGGACGGAGTAGTTACGAGTGCGCGATCGCCGCACACGCGCCATGTTAAAGGACCATAATCTGGACCCAATGCGTTAGGGTCTCTGGGAGAACGGTTATGATTTTTTAAATCGAGACTACTTTGCGACGCCTGTTAACCCTTAAAAATGGGTTTGGACGTTTAAAGCCGGAAAAACAATTTCAAGTTCAGGCATGGCCATTGCAGTCAATGACCAACGCTAAGAATTTATAAAAAAAAAAAAAACGGTATTTTAAATGTTTAGGTGTGTGCATCGTGGTGTCAAGAGTAGAATCATGTCAGAACATCCATCGTGCATATGGGGGGTGGGCGACCCTGAAAGCAACGCTATGAGAGTAAAAAAAAAGATTGCAAGTTGGCGTTGTTGCCCCCCCCCTCCCCGGGTATATAAACCATGTCTGGTATTAAAGCTGCAACTGATCGTCTAACGTTCCGGGGCGGTGCACCTGGGTTTGGTTTTCACTCGCAATGGCTCCTGGTCCACCAACCGTCACGTGCCTAGGACCGCACCGTTGCATCGAGCAGCAGTAGATCGTTGCCAATCCATCGCTGGACGAGTGCTTCCCTTCCCACACCGTGGAGGGTCGTGGAGGCAGTTTTGCTCCAACTTCACCATGCCGGTAAGCACGGGTTTGTGAAGACGGTGACCACATGGGGGCATTTACACAGCACAACGGAGTGTGCCAAACCAACTCTGCTGCTCACAATGTACCCCCCCCCCCTGCAACCTTGTTGTTAGACACACGGTGGTTGCCCATCAAAAACCAGGGAGAAGCTCTGTTTAGCTTCCAAGAGCTTGGCATATTCCAGGGCAATTTAGTTTTTTTTTTTACCAGTCATGGCATCATACCAAAAGCAGTGCAGGGTCCACGAGATGCATGAGCATTACCAGCGCATCTCACTTCCTTGGGGAGGATCGTGTACCCAATCTAATGCAATATTGAGCCTTGTCTTTTGTTTTTGTTGTAAAATCTGGGCAACTGGCTAAAAAAAAAAATTGGGACCATCTGTGTTACAAAATAAATAAACTCAAACGCAAGCCTATTTGGCGAAAACGGTGGAAAATTCTGTACCGTTGGGGAAAAAAAAGAAAAACACGGCCATGACGACAAGCCACCCGCGCTGCAAGCTCACCTCAACGTTTCCAAATCCTTTTGTTGCACGAATTAAAGGATCAAACTGGCAAACCTAAAACTCTTACAGGAAAGTAAAAAGGAGGATTTGCCAAAAGAGCTCTTCTTGGAATGACGAAACCGTACGCGGAACTAAAAACTAAACATTTTTTTCTCACCAGGTAAGGCCCACCGGAGCTAATTAGCTCTTTCAGAAGGGACCTATCACAAATGGTATCTCAAAGTGGCTTACCACGTGGAAATTTATCGCAGCCAAATACTAATCGCATGTAGATTATAAAATAGGGGGGGGGGGGGAATGCACACGACCACAAGGAGAAGACGCACACGCAAAACACACAGCAGGCGTCAGGGTCGGGATCCAAGCCACAACCTCCTGTACACCAGGCGGTGCGCGTCCATCCCCACACTTGGAGACCACTGGGAGAGCCGCACCTCCACTACCCGCGTCCCTTACCGACGTCAGCCAATCAAGGGAAGCGTGTACACACATTAGCGCGTGTCTGAAACACGGCCACGTGTTAAAAATTAACCCGCGTTTGACCGTTTAGGCCAGAACTCGCAGCGTCAAAACTCAAGGGCGGAGGACTCCACGTGGTTGTGGTACGAACAGAGAACGAGAAGTGATCTCCCCCCCCCCCCTCAAGGAGGTTGGGGCAGCACGTGACTGTCGATATTGCTCCCTGGTGGTGCAAGACGGTGCAATGGCTACGGGGCCCCATGCGGTTCTGGACAGCGGAAAATCTTAACGCTCCGGTAAATGGGCGTTTGGGGAGATGCGCTGGGGGTCACTACCGTTCACGATGGGCCATTCAAATTGAAAGCCTCCCCCACCCCGCCAAGCCTCCATCACTATTTACGAAAGAAAGTCACCCCTCCTCCACCTACCCTCCCCACCCGTGCGACGCGCCAGAAAACTTTGCCAGCTTCCCCAGCCACTCCTACCCCCTCCATCTGCTCTTCTCACCCCCCCCACCTCCTTCACAACCCCGAGGCTGTGAGGAAGCATACAGCTGGGGAGACGTAACGTGACTTCTTGGCCACAGACGATGCACATGGAGCACTTTCCAAATCGCGAATCATTTGGCAGCTACCGCGGATACGAAAAACAAAAATAAACGAATCGAATGCTCGAGCCTGCAAGCGCGCGCGAGCGAGTGCAAGACTCCCGAGTATTCTAGCATCGGGCGCCGTTAGCAAGAGCCTAATAAGGGCCCTCAATGCAATTGTTGTTGAGAGACCTGCAAGGGGGATTAGCACCAATGAATGCTCGGGCACAGTCCTCTCCAGTGGTGGTGTCGACATCACCCAGGGACTTAGGTTTAGGTCACGCCGACCCAGGGAAGGGCTCAAGCATTAACTAAGAAATGTTTAAAACGCAGCAACAAAACGCAAATCTTGGCCGAGGTTGGGGGGGGGGGGGTCGCAGACACCGACCAAAGTCAGCGAGGAACACCCACACGATTAACGAGAAGGGTTACACAAGTACCTCCCTCTCGTTATGAAAAAAACGCGACTGAGAAATAGCGGACAAGTCGTTTTTTTCTCTCCTGCGCCACTAAGGGATGTACTGTACCATGGCGGTTTCAAATATGCGCCATGACCCTAAACATCCCATACATTAGGCATGCCAGCACGTGCTACATCATCCAGCTGTGTGCCCAGCTCGTCACGAACGTGAAATATGCGTCCGATCTGCCTCTACGATTCCGTCACAGTAAACAAGGAGACATCTCGGTTATGCAGTTTAAAAAGAAAAAAGTGCAAGGTCTTGTTGCCAGCTTCATAATTTTATCCCGCTGCCCGGCCGTGGCATTCCGTACTTCTCCGCATCCATTTAAATTCACCCGATGTGAAGGCAGGAATCAAACTAGACGTCTGTGCTTCAGAGTGGGTGTGATTTTAAACAAAGTAGGCCATGGTGTGCAGGCATCATGGTCCAATTTTTTTTTAAACCAAAAGTACTTAAATGGAAAATGCATGACAAGCGTTGCTCTTCCGAAGAAAAATAAACAGGACTCCTCAAGAAAGAGCAGAGACTCGCCAAGGCTACAAAAACAAGCGTAGTAGCAAAGTTCCGAGCCATTTTATCTGTATCCGACGACGTTGAGGAGCCTCTCGCGAACTTGGGTTCGGCATTTCTAAGTTCGCCTTGTTCAAAATATAAAATGTAACCTAAAAATTAGAATAGGATTACCCCCTTTTTTCTGGCAACAAAACAGGTGTTAAGATGTTAAAACACCAAATTGAAACCTTTTACAAGGAATCATGTCCGCATTAACCACAATACTTGTGAACAGAATGCAAACAAAAACGGATAATATGCATGGTCTTTGAAATTGATTGGTCCAGAGAAAAGCTGTCAAAGTACTTAAATGGAAAGCTGCTAGCAGGAGTTCAGAATAGATATTCATTTTGACAACACCAATAAAGCAAAGCTGGAAAAACAAAGATTTGAGAAAAGGTGAAATTTTTTAAAATGAAAGTGCATTTGTTGCAAATGTTCTCAAATTTAAAAACCCTCCGAATTGGTGCCAATAACGTCACACAAACGTGGGATTACAACGACGACAAAAGCACACCCAACGTCCGGCAGAGTCAGTGGCCGCACCTGAAAATACTGGCGTCGCAGGCAGTTGTGGGGCCTCCCTGCCAAATCCATTCCAACTTCGAGCCTCAACTCCCGGTGACGGTTTCCAACAGCTGGCACACGAAAAGGCTCCCCCCCCCTCTTTCTCTGGATCGTCGTCGTGCTCACTTATTTTGGAAAGAAGCCTCGGGAAGTCTTCAGCACCCTAGGGCAGAAGGAAACAACATTAGCATCTGTGGGAAAATAAAAGTAAAAACAAGTATAACCCGTAAAAACAAAGTTTTTCACTATAAATCCTTTATATGCGTGGCGGCTAGAGTCCTCTCGTCCTCTGGCTTGAGATGGCTGCCACCTATGGGTCAGATGATTGCATGCCACCATTAAGCAATTGGTAATTAAATATAATATTTTTGTCCTAAAAAGTGTAAAATTTTGTAAAAAAAATTTCACGAACATTAATTGTCACGCACAACGAGTCTGTCTGGAAAATGTCAGCTCGATTGGATCACGGGAAGTGGGTTAAAAAACGACCGCAAGATTTGCACGGTCGTAAGCAAGCAAGCGAACTTAATATAAAGGATTTAATAAACAAGCAGACACTGTCTCCGAAGCTTGCCATCATGTCGGTTTTTCGCAGTCAATACAAATGGGTCCAGATTCGTTTTTGCGTTCAGCCACGTGGAAGTTAATGCCAGAATTATTGTCAATGCTTTCCAACTCCACGAGCCAAACAGTACTCGACTACACAGGATGCTCTTGCAAATGAGACCATCCTGGCCTCTAGCTCTCACCGTGGTGAAACTAATAACCTTTGTTAGCGCCATCTACGTAGGACTCTTGACTGCGTCTGGTTTTATGCAAGGGCCTCAAAAACAGAGATGTCAAGGAGTTGAACACACGAGGATTATGGTTAGAGGTTGTACGATTAAATCGTTGATCACCAAGACACTATGCCAAGGCATATTATGGGAGCACGTGGGACTGTAAACAGATCGTTGGCACAATATGCGACAATGTTGGCATGTTCACTGGAGAGAGTGGTCGTACTATGGAAGGTGCGCTACAGATGATCATCATTGGCGTGCACCACAGATACCTTACAGGAGAAGGATGGAGGGGATGGAGCCAAGGCTTGCAGTTAAAGCAGAGCAGCAACGTACAGCGCATGCGACTTTGCGCGAGTCGACAAACAAGGCAACTCATTTTCAATTTCACACTGTGCCCAACCCCCTCATCTCACCGCTTCAACGCTACAACAAAAAAGTTGGGTCGAAGGGAAGGATACGGGGGGGGGGGGGGGGGGGGGGAGGGAATATTCAAGCGAAAAACCAAGGCTCCCACAACCAACGGATCCTTGTTACAATTCATTTCTTCAATTAGAAGCTGCGAGCATTGATAATTGAACGAGGGACAAGGTAGAACAAGCGGAAACGCGTCGCAATCAAGGCCGACATGGCCGGGGCCACAGCTCGGTGCCCAACATCGAACCACCCTGACGGCAAAACAGAATATAAATTAACCCAGCCTTAATTAACGGCTCAATTAGTAACAAATGAATAAAAAGGTCAACGGGCAAGCAAAACTTCCCACAATCCCATGCTGCCGTGCCAGATTTAGATATTGTATTATGCGTTGCCGCTTTGTTAGCCCGCCCACACCCCCGCGTGTACCCCCCCCCCCCAAACGGGGAGACGGGGGGGGGGGGCAGTTCACTCCCGCGTGTTTTTGGGGTTGCACCGCATGTTCCTGGCCACATCCCAAAGGCGTTGCTACAATGTTCTAGGAGTTTCTTCAAGAACCAAAATTCCACCCCCTCCCCCTCACCTCCCCAGGTCAACATCTCTCAACTTAGAAAATGAACCTGCTGTACCTCTAGCAGGCCCCCGTGCCGAGGGAGGAAAGCCTGCCCAGGAGAGACGATGACCGGGAAACGCTGGCACTGGTGTGCACTGCACGTTGCCTTGTGATGTGAATGCAGTTTGGGTTCAATAACAAACAAAAAAATAAGTTAAGAATTTCGGCTCATTTTTTAAAACACGTGGCACGGTCAGACCAATTAAATTTGTTCCTTGAGCTCACAGCACGTGGGACAAACTGGACAATCTCGTGGCCAAACAAAACGCACGGTGGTACAACTAAAACCCCCAGTACACAGGGGGCCCACGTGAAAGATCCCAAAACCGTCAAGTTAATTTTTGAAAAACTTGGGTCACAGGATTAGAGCTCAAGCTGCCAGTGGCCCAAGCTTAAATAAGCACTTTGAAGCATAGTTGGTGGATCACCAAGTAGCCAGAAGGATGAGAGCACAGCAAGCCGAGGTGTGGGCCAGAGTGTTTTTCACCTCGGGCACCTGGTGGGGGTTTCTCCGTTTCCACCCACGTGAGTCTTGGACAATGCACCACTTGCAAAACGCATTTTGGTCAAGTCCCGTAGGACCGATTGACAAATACCAATGTGGACAATCTCTTCGTTTGATTTTTTATAGCTATATTGCATAACAACTCTGGAAACCACACAGGTCAAAAAAGTCAACCAAGACCTTCCTGGTTAAATAAACATGGTTGGTTGGAGTTTATTTTTTGTTTAAACCACAGTAATTTATATCTGTAGATGTGTGTATGGTTTCACACTTAACACCAAGTCAACTCTGACATTGCCAACTCGGCCAGATGGAGGAGGACCATCAACTTCGTTTGGAGGTTCCCAACCACTCCCCCAGCCAAACCAACTCGTGCAATCTCACTGGGCCACCGTCTCTTCTGGATGGAGAAATATTTTTTCTCCCCCCGCACGTCGCACAGTTTGTACTCAAGAGTGAGGACGCCCAGAGCAAAGGAAACCGCGGTCTTTGGCGCCGTTGCTTATTTTTTCTGTCGTTAATCACGCGCGACTGGAATGGGACCAGGAGATGTTAGTTTCTCAGTTCTCCCTCATCCAGCAACCCCTTTGCCCCTATGTACCCCATTCCAGGCCCTCCCCCCTCCATCCCCCTCACGGCAATAGAGAATTTGTGACGGGTCCAGCAAAAAAAAACTTAAGCTATTCTTTTTTACAGCCAGAGAGCAAAGACCGACCAAGTGACTTTTCCGAAGGCTGGGCCCTTCTTCCTGTTTAGCATGGTGCTGCTTGTTGTGCAAGTTGACTAAACGCAGCCCCCTTACTACTCTTGGACAGCTGCACGAGCGATCGTTTTAAAGCCACCGAGAGCTCGAGTTGGCGTCGGATGTTGACGAGGTGTAACACCACACTATGGCTTTGAGTTTACCAAGTTAATAACTACAAATGGATTACCATGATATAAGTTTTTGCCCTTTGATGGATAAGGGACAATTATAGAAGCATTTGTATAGATTCCTAAGCTACATTCGTCCAATTGAGAAGGGAAAGGGATTCTGTTTAACTCGGAGACAAGATCATGGGTGGAGGGGACCCCCTGCAAGTTACTAGGAAGGTGCTACGATTCAAGCAACGTTGAAAAGGAATATTAACTTGACAGTCCATGGGGGAAGTGACCATCAACACCTACCAAAACGGCAAATTAGCACTGGTTTCTGCAGTCTTGCTAAAGTTACACAAAATAGTACAGGATATTAATTTTGAAGAACAAATGTGGTTCTAAAACCGGTTCCTGGCATCCTCTATATAAATACCTTCATCTGTATATATATATATATATACACACACACACACACGAGTCTCAAAAACCTCTAGGGAACTTCCCAACAAGGTAGGAAGCTGAAATTCGGTACATCGGTAGCTTTTAGGAAAAAGAGGAAAAAAAATCTGAAAAATCAGAGATTTTTCATTTTCAGCCCCAAAATCGATTTTAAGTGCCCCATTAAAATGCTGTGTCATTCAGAAACTGTTCAAAACACAAGATTGCAGTTTTCCCCATTTGATAGAGCATTAAACAGCAAAATATTTTGAGAACTATCGTTCGAGATGTTTCGGATTCAAGTAGTTTTGAACAAAACACATTTCGTTCAAATCATAATAATCTGAAAGCAGTAAATGGAGCTTCACCCTCCGTATTAAGTTCATTCATTTTAGTGTAATAAAGATGGAATCTTTAAATAACGGTTTCCTATGGGTACGTGTTTAAATGCGAAATTTAATCAAGTCGACAATGATCTTCTGCAGAAATAAACCTAGTTGTTAGAGTCTGATCGTAGAAAAATAAATCTTATTAGGTGAATTATATTTATTCAAAACGTTTACCTGGTGCAGACAGGCTTTATGAACGAGTAGGAATATAGGGTACGCCATACAATTATTATGGTTAGGCACACATACAGCAGTAGTTCCTTCCAGCAAGGCTCCAAGCCAGCCTCGCAGCGTTTCAAAACATTGAAAAAAATCAAGCTCCGAATACCCAAATGACATAAAAACCGCACACCATCCAAGATGACCATCTCTGCACACGCTCAAAAAGTGGCGCACAGATTGCGACAACACCCACAAGGTTTTGCTCAATAACATTTCACACGCGCACACCGCAACGCCCAGCATGCCCCTCTACACAACAGCGCGTCCTTTAAGGAGAAGTGTGCAACGCGTCAACTTGACAAGCGGAGGCACGCACCTTCGGCGCCCTCCGCAAGAGCGCCTCGGGCCACCGCAGTGACCGCGAGAACGAGGGCACGGCGCGCCGCGCACGCGCGGTCACGGCGACCCCTGCAACGAGCGGAGCAACGGCGCTCTCAAATAAAATTGGGCAACGCGCCAATCCGCGCGGGCTAAACCAGGATTTATTGGTGGCACAACGCAGACCTCTTTCCCCCCCCCCCCTCCTCTCTCTCGAGCCGACGACTCGTGTTTACCGGGAATCTCGCACTGAAGCACGTGCCAAACGAACGCTCCAGCGCCCCTCAAGGCCGACGGGTTGCGAGTGTTCCCGGTACGACCAAGACACGCGCATTGATGATGTCGGAGCAGTTTCTGTGATGCCTTCCAGGACAGTTCCCCAACCCAAGGGAATGCAATGTTAGTTGCAAGAACCGAGGATGAAAATTATTTCTCTGGAGATGCCCAACGACGATTTAAATTTGGGAGGAAAGCTAATAACACATTTTGTTCTGAAACTTAACTTGAGGACCAAACTAGCGGCACAAAAAGTCAGCAGTTTCCTGCACTTAGAATGGGTGCTCATCTTTACCACCAAGCGGGATGGTGTATAGACACATTTCTATGGCAGTGGCAAGTACC